TGGAGGCCCAGGATGCTTCGATAGCGGCCTTAAGCTCATCCAGAGTGTTGGGTCTTGCGTCTCTCAACTTTCTCTTCACAATATCCCACAGGTTCTCTATGGGGTTCAGGTCAGGAGAGTTGGCAGGCCAATTGAGCACAGTAATACCATGGTCAGTAAACCAGTTACCAGTGGTTTTGGCACTGTGAGCAGGTGCCAGGTCGTGCTGAAAAATGAAATCTTCATCTCCATAAAGCTTTTCAGCAGATGGAAGCATGAAGTGCTCCAAAATCTCCTGATAGCTAGCTGCATTGACCCTGCCCTTGATAAAACACAGTGGACCAACACCAGCAGTTGACATGGCACCCCAGACCATCACTGACTGTGGGTGCTTCACACTGGACTTCTGGCATTTTGGCATTTCCTTCTCCCCAGTCTTCCTCCAGACTCTGGCACCTTGATTTCCAAATGACATGCAAAATTTGCTTTCATCTGAAAAAAGTACTTTGGACCACTGAGCAACAGTCCAGTGCTGCTTCTCTGTAGCCCAGGTCAGGCGCTTCTGACGCTGTTTCTGGTTCAAAAGTGGCTTGACCTGGGGAATGCAGCACCTGTAGCCCATTTCCTGCACACGCCTGTGCACGGTGGCTCTGGATGTTTCTACTCCAGACTCAGTCCACTGCTTCCGCAGGTCCCCCAAGGTCTGGAATCAGCCCTTCTCCACAATCCTCCTCAGGGTCCGGTCACCTCTTCTCGTTGTGCAGCGTTTTCTGCCACACTTTTCCCTTCCCACAGACTTCCCACTGAGGTGCCTTGATACAGCACTCTGGGAACAGCCTATTGGTTCAGCAATTTCTTTCTGTGTCTTACCCTCTTGCTTGAGGGTGTCAATGATGGCTTTCTGGACAGCAGTCAGGTCGGCAGTCTTACCCATGATTGTGGTTTTGAGTAATGAACAAGGCTGGGAGTTTTTAAAAGCCTCAGGAATCTTTTGCAGGTGTTTAGAGTTACGTCGTTGATTCAGATGGTTAGGTTAATAGCTTGTTTAGAGAAACTTTTCATGATATGCTCATTTTTTGGGACAGGCATTTTGGGTTTTCATGATCTGTATGCCATAATCATCAGTATTAAAACAATTAAAGACCTGAAATATTTCAGTTGGTGTGCAATGAATCGGAAATATATGAAAGTTTCATTTTTATCATTACATTATGGAAAATAATGACCTTTATCACAATATGCTAATTTTTTGAGAAGGACCTGTAAATAAATCTAACACAAAGAGAATAATTTAATGATTAAGCTTCAACTTTTAATTTGTTGGCAAAGTCTGAAGACACTGCAGGTATGGCAGGATGAATTGCATTTAAACAGGAATTAAAGTAATTTATTACATCTACTCAAATGTGTGTAATTAAGTATTTTATATATGTGTGTGTGTGTGTGTGTGTGTGTGTGTGTGTTTAATTGCTCTTTTAACTACTTTTGCCTGAACCTAACACTGTAAGTGAAACAAGGCATTTCTTGAGTTGCTGTAAATTATGCTATAAAACATATTTACTGTCTCATTCCAGAAAACAACAACAACAAACAACAACACTTCATGATGGACAGACATCATGGACACCACAGCAGCAGCTTTCTTCACTGAAACATCCTGAACATGATCGTCACTGACATGAGGCCTCTGTCCATGGTTGAAGATGAAGGCTTCACTACAATAATCCACACTTTTAATCCAGGTTACAATAATCCACACTTTTAATCCAGGTTACAATAATCACACTTTTAATCCAGGTTACAATGATCCACACTTTTAATCCAGGTTACAATAATCCACACTTTTAATCCAGGTTACAATGATCCACACTTTTAATCCAGGTTACAATAATCCACACTTTTAATCCAAGTTACACTCTTCCCTCAAGGACACATTTTACAAAGTAGCTACATACTGTGCAGGTATAAAGATACATTTGTATATATTTTTGTGTACATTTATTTTTTTAAGTTGTTTGACTAACTTTGATTTTTTATTATTCAATATTTTACTAACAGAATAGTCAAATAGCAACCTGTTTTTTGTGTGAATTTCTATGTCAGTCAAATGTTCAATTTTGGAATAAAGGGGTGGAAATTAAAACTTTTTTTTTTTTGCAGATTCATCGATTAATCTGGAAAAAATAATCGGCTGAAGAATCGATTATTGGAGTAATCGTTAGATGCAGCCCTACTGCAAACAACCAGAAAGTCTGCTTGATTTCTGAGATTTTAAATTTGTTCACAAATCCAAATATCTGAAAGTAGAAAAACTAATAAAATTATTTATGGTGGTTTGTTGATCTTGACTAAAGAATGGAACATGTTCATCAACCTGACTTATTTACATGTGAATTATTTTATAGGAAGTGGCTAAACTGTAAAGTTTGTTTCTAAAGCTGAAATGTTCCCAAAACAACTGTTGTGTCATACACCACGGTCTGACAAAAGATGAACGTGTACACAAAAGGTCAGCTGGAAAAGAATAAAATAAAATACACATGAAAATACAAACCGGATTCCAAAAAAGTTGGGACATTAAACAAATTGTGAATAAAAACTGAATGCAATGATGTGGAGATGGCAAATGTCAATATTTTATTCGTAATATAACATAGATGACAGATCAAAAGTTTAATCTGAGTAAATGTAACATTTTAAAGGAAAAATATGTTGATTCAAAATTTCACAGTGTCAACAAATCCCAAAAAAGTTGGGACAAGTAGCAATAAGTGGCTGGAAAAAGGAAATTGAGCATATAACGAACAGCTGGAAGACCAATTAACACTAATTAGGTCAACTGACAACATGATTGGGTATAAAAAGAGCTTCTCAGAGTGTCAGTGTCTCTCAGAAGCCAAGATGGTAAGAGGATCACCAATTCAACCATTGTTGCGCAGAAAGATAGTGCAGCAATACCAGAATGGTGTTAATGGAATTATGAAGAATTGCGCCGCTCAAGGTGGCTGCATGTTGGAGTAGCTCTGTTACTTTCATTCTGAGATGTTACTTTTGAAAACTTTAATTCCTCTTTTTTCTGGATATAAATCACTTTTTTTGGATGATTATTTCCTCTGGTGTCAGATGCTGTGCAGCTGGAAGGATTTTTACAGAAATATCTTTACTTTTGGACATTTGTTATAATGCGTAACCATAACAACAAGGTTGTTTTTTACAACCGGGAGCAGCTGATTAACATCTCCAAAGCTCAAATAATATCTCAACTACAAACTCAAATCCCAAATGAGTTGAAAAGGAGGTATCGTGGATGCAGAGCAGGAGCAAAGAAGAGGGAGAAAGAGAGAAGAATGAAGTTTAAACCATCTCTTCCATCGATCATGATGG